GAGCTACGTGCCCAAGATGAGTGTAGGGGCATAGAGAGGTAGGGGAAGAGGCACGAGCATGCTGTGAAGACGCACATACGACTTGGGTCTTTCCACAGCACCAGCCGTGCTCAGCCATAAAGCAGGGTTAACGTAATGAGAAGGCAGGTTCCAGATTCCACACCCAGTGACATTTGAGCACGTGGTGAACTTGGCCTCTTACCCGCCACACAGAGCAGGACGTAAACAAGGCACACGACAAACAAGATAACGCAGGCGGTAGGAAGTTCACGAGCCACCTCGAAGTCTGTCTGTGGGCGCACGACTGAGATGCGGCCTGGGTTCGGGTCCGGGTCCGGGTCCGGGTCCGGGTCCGCCCTCGGCCCTCACCGCTTATTCTGTTCGAGCAGTGGAGGCTCTCCGTTCCCTTCGGCCAGAGCCTTCGGCGGCAGCTGCCGTATGAGGGGCTCAGACACGGAGGGGTCGTGTCTGGGGAGCCCGACGCTTTGCTGCAAAAACCCTCCCCCTTTTCAGGGGACTTAATGAGTCTCGGACGCCCGCACACCTCCCCTGCTTCTGCTGCTTATCAGTTCTGGTGTGTCGTCAGCCGGTGCCGGTCTCGGTGATGGCTCCCGGTTGTTAGTACCCTTGACTGCTTGTATTCTTGCGTGACGCGGGCCCCTGCTTGACACGAGTGACTCCATCTTGCTCTCTACAGGAGCCTTTTACAAGCCAGTGTTGCTTTGGAATCTGGCAACCGGTGTGACCCAGCGTTTGGGGACAGGCTCATTCTTTCCTGAGCCCTATTCCCTCTCTCCCTCCCTACCGGGAGTTGACTTTTGTCATAGACTTGCTGTGTCAGTAGTTTCTCTTTTTTTCCTTTCTCTACATATACATAAATAAGGGGTAGTTATGAAGTTCATCATAATAATGAACTCCACAGGGGCGCCTGAGTGGCTTAGTCGGTTAAGCGTCCGACTTTCGCTTAGGTCATGATCTCTCGGTTCGTGGGCTCGAGCCCCGCGTCGGGCTCTGTGCTGACTGCCAGCTCGGAGCCTGGAGCCTGTTTCAGAGTCTGTGACTCCCTCTCTCTCTGACCCTCCCCTGCTCAACGCTGTCTCTCTCTCTCTCTCTCTCTCTCCTAGAAATTAAAAAAAAAAAAAAATGAACTCTACAGCCAAAGCAAGAGGAAAATGAGCTCGGTTAAGGCCAGGATCGGAGGCCGAGAAAAGCTCTCACTAGGGACATTTGTAAGAATTGGGAGCTTCCCTGAAAATGAGAGCAGAAGCCACAGAAAATGATTTACATATTTAAAAGTTTTACATTTTTTATGTTTGACTGAAGGAGGTCTGACTTAAATGTGTTGCTGATCAAACCATCCCGCAGGGCCAGAGGTAAAATGTGACCTCCATCCCAACTTATTTTGTCGTTGCCCAAGGGACAGGAAGGGCTTCCCAGCTGCAGAGAGCCAGTAGCTTGGAGACCTCAGGGCCTGTGACCTCGGATGGAGGAGTAAAACCTGGGGGGATGGTATCCATTCCTGGTGCTGGACAGGAGAGTAGGAGGGGGGGTGGGGGGAGGGAGGGAGGAGGAGGGACCTGAGAATCTCCAGGAAGGCTCTTTGCTGATGCAATCCTGCTCTTTGTAGAGAAGGAATCCTAATAAAATCGAGTGGTTCTTAAACATATAATAAGCGTTCACACCATTTGGTTCACATCGTTTGGCTCTTGTCTTATTGTAGTTTTAAGAAACAATGCTTAATGGTGTTAAAAAAACAAAATTCAACGGGCTAAATTTGAAGATTTCCTCGGCTTTATTAAATGATTCGTGAATTGTACAAAATGGAAGGTTTTTATAGGAAGGAGGGTGGGGCAAGAAAATTGTTGCCAAACGAAAAGGATTGTTCCAGACAAGGTCACCTTCCGGGGGGGGGGGCGGGGGGGAAGAGCCAGGGGTCTTATCATGTAGATCACTTCCTTTTCCTCTGGGGGATGGAAGGGGTCCCTGCGACAGAGGACCTCAGTGGTGCTGACCAGAAACGTTCTGATTGGCCCAGTTAAGTCTGCATTTTTGGAGGAGGTTGAAACTTCAGTTCAGTGCGGTATCAAGCCCCGCTGTGGTGACTTGGCCTAGCACAAGTGACTCCATCTTGGGTCTGTGGTTTTCTTGTTAACAGTGGAAATTGAACAAGGTATGCAGAAGGAGCACCAGGTGTGGCCACTCGCCGCTGCCAAAATCCAAAGGCAGAAAAGCAAGTAGTGGGGAAACCAGAACGCAGTTTATTTCAGGGACATCTCAGAGGCTGTCTCCAACATACCGAAAATGCATCCGGGTTTACAGAAGGGAAGTGGGGGGGCAAAGGCGAGTGGGTCCGTGCAGGTGGGCACTGAAGGCCAAATCAGTCGGATCTTGGGATCAGTCACAGGTCAGGTCTTGCTGGCTCAGAGCAGACCTTACTGCTGGAGGCACTAGCTTCAGGGTCCATCAGGGGGTGCTGCACCCTCAGGGTCTTCCACCTGAGCTGAGAGACTAGCTGGAAAGAAGAACTTAATCAGCTGCAATGTCTGAGGTCAAAATGGAGGTGGTTGGAAATCTCAGTTTTAACAGAGCGAGTGCAGTTGGACAAGATGTTCAAAAGAAGGGGGAAAGAGGCATTTTCCCCATTTTTAGTCCATTCCCTACATGCTTTGTGCTTTCCAACCAGGAACATGACTTTTATTATTACTGATGAAGATGGGCTGCATACGCCAGTAGAAGACTTTTACGAGGGGCACTTAATATGCTAGGTTGGCCATCTTTGAGCACATGTTTGGTCATTCGGGATCATGTACCAAGAACAGAAAAGAAAACAAGCCATGGCAACTATGTGTGGACTGGTTTTCTGTTGGCAGGCTGAGCGAGAGTGAAGCAAAGAGGGTGGAGGAGAGAAGAGATTATAACAAGCAGAATAGTCTGGAATAAAAACCCTGTTGAGCAATTGAGAGCTTTGAGGTTTTGTCAACCTCACAAGCTACTAATTTTTTAATACCTTTCAAGCACGAAGAAGGGATTGGTTACGTCAATTGTGATGTAACCCCCAAGGATGAGTTATTTCTCTGTTTTGACATGGAAAGGTATTCAGAATAGAACATTGAATCTGCTCTGGGATTTAAGCAAATGATATATAATGCAGAAAACAAACAAAAGAAACCAAAAGCATAAATAGCAAATTGCTAGCGATATTAATGTCAGGCCAAGAGTGAAGACTGGAGAAAGATTTTCAGTTTAGAGGCCACACACTTCCACAGTCTCAAAATATGTCTTCAGTTTATGTGTATTAGTTTTTTATAATCAGAAAAACACAGTGAAGACATTTATGCTTTGAGAAATCAATTTAGACAGTGTTCAATGGTGAATTTCTTTCTTAAAGCGGCGAAGAAAGGGGTTTTGTTATGGAGTCTCATTACAAGTCGGGCTAACTAGGGCCAGAGAGGCTGAGCATCTGTGCGCAAGCAGAGCGAGAAGTGCTTCCCTAGAACCCGCCCGCCCGCCTGGGTAAGACACGTGGCATGGGGCTGGGGATTGCCGGCCTGTGTTTCCAGCACCCTGACCCCCCCCTCCCTCAAATTGCACAACTTGTGCAGCCCAGCTGGGCCTCCTTCCTCCCAGTCCCTGCCCACAGGGCAGGCCTGGGGAGGGGTGACGTTCACCATCTGATGGCAGAGTGAGCCTGTGGGGCACCAAGGGAGGGGTGAGAACGAGCGAGCTGTCAGCAAGCAGCGTTACTTCCGGAGGCCTTCAACCTGGTCTGGTAAAACCTCAGAGAGGATCTGTTGGGATATGAGAGGGTGACGAAATAGCCTCTGGCATCCACCCAAGTGTTTTGATTGGTTCCACCAGCCTTTGGATTTTCTTTCTTTTTTTTTTTAATTTTTTTAATGTTTTATGTTTTATTTATTTCTGAGAGAGAGACACAGCGTGAGCAGGGGAGGGGCAGAGAGAGAGGGAGACACAGAATCTGAAGCAGGCTCCAGGCTCTAAGCTGTCAGCACAGAGCCTGATGCGGGGCTCGAACCCACGAACCATGACATCACGACCTGAGCCGAAGTCGGACACCCAACCGACTGAGCCACCCGGGCGCCCCAGCCTTTGGATCTTCTTAACCAGACCCCACTGATGCTGAGGGTTCTCAGTTACACCTTTTCTCTTGTGCCTTTCGTGTGTGTTTCAGCCCAGCTGGCATCGCAACTGCATCCCCAGAATGTGCTTTTGTCTCCCGTGAGCCTTCCACGCCTGCCCTTGTTTGGTTCACTCTGTCACCACGTTGACTCTCACAGACACCCCAGTGTGGGCCCTGCCGTTCCACCTTGACCTCTACCCTCCATTCCTTTCCCACATCTCCTTTTCCATGGAAGGCACACGAGCGATGTCTCAGTTCTGTTTTGAGCTTTTGCCATTTCTGGGTCCAGGTCTCCCAGTGGCACTACAGCATCCCTTCTGGGCCGTGGGGACAGACACCCATGGAAGTCACCAGGAGAGCAAGTAGGCAAGTTTCCTGTGGTCCTGAGCTCTTGACCCCGTGCGTCACAGTAGGAATCTAGTGAATGCTGTGTACTCTCTTCACCGAGAAGCGTCCATACTTGGAAAATTCTATAGGTAACTCTAGGGAATGCACGGAGCGGCTGAACCCCACATCCCCGGAACTGGGGCTCTATTTTAGGAGAGATGAAAAGGAATGAGTTCACTAGAAACTAGAGCCAAGTGGCTCTAGGACACTTGGGCCAAGTCATTTAGGTTTAGGGGAATGTGTGTACATGTGTCCATTATGTGTGTACGTGTGGGAGTGACAGTGTGTGTTTTAAACAGCTCACAGAAGTTAAACATTTAAATATGTGTCTGAGAGAAAATAAAGGATTTTATCTCGTCTTTTGTATCTGTTGTATAAATTATAGTTCAGAGATATTTGTTAAGTATATTATTGTATTTTTGTTCCTTTGGGCATTATGGACACTAACCTTTTAATGTTTCCGGTCCTTTTTCAGGGTGGACAAGCTTCATTTATACCATATCTGGCAATGTGTATATTGGTAAGTGATGGCTCTTTGCTTTGGGTTCACTTGCACATCATTTAAACTACTGAGGGGGAGGAAAAGCAAGATGAAACCTTTCATGTGATCAAATACTCTGCCGCCTTCTGTCTGGCACCAGCCCTCTCTCCATCTTCGTACAGCCTGGGACACCCAGGACGGGGCACCTCTCAGCTTCCAGCATGTTCGGTGAGGGAGGAGAATATGAACACCAGTCACGACGGCAGCCATTTTCCTGTGGCCTGTGTGCTGATGTAAGGTCCGGGCACGTCCCTGTGGGTTGACATCTTGTGGACAGATTGACGTCCTCCGTGCTAACAAAGGGATGTACCACTAACGGGCTCAGGGGGGCCAGGAATGAGGTGCATTTGCGGTCCCAGGTGCTTCTGAGGAATCCCAAAGTTGGTTTTCCCTTATTTTGAGGCTTGTATAAGCTTCCCTCGCTGAGTCTGCTCCAGGAGGGATGGTCGAGACCCACCCGTCATTTTACGGATGAGGAAAGTCAAGTCTAATGACAGTTATTGAACGTGCCACGATTATGCCTCCGTAGACCTGGGACCCGAACCGAGGACTCCCCTGTCCCGTTTCCCATGACGTGCTCCGTGATCTTTGTACGACGACAGCACAGCAGCCGCACCATCTGCCGTGTCTTTTCCAGTCTTCCCTCTTGGGCCGGCCCCGCAGCAGAGGAGCAGGCCGCGGTGGCCGAGTGGGGCCTGCCCAGCCGGCGGGCTCCGGCCGCATCGGTTCCCACCGGCCTGTCGCTTGTAAGAAGCTCGGGCGTCAGGCAGGTCTGCGTGGGCCCAGCAGACAGGCGCCGTAGGGACTGTGTGTGTGCGCTGCCCACGCCCCGGGCGCCTTCCCTCCGCCAGAGCCATCTGTGTCGTGGCCCGACGCTGTGTGTGCACCGGGGAAGGCTGCTCCGCCGTGGCCGGGGCAGGGTCAAAGTGCAGGGGCATGGACGTTCCCAGAAGCCGCCTCACCCCTCCGGTGGCATAAGTGAGGCCCGCGTGTGAGGCCTTTTCCTGGCGTGTCCCCATGGGAATCTGTCCGCGCCGCCCACCGTGGGGACACGCCCTCCCTTCCCTGACTCTCGGTGCCTGGCCGTTGTTTCCTGTGTCCGCCTGCCAGATAAACTCCTCGTACAGAAACCTCTTGGGCTGTGCTTCTGGGAGAATGTAAAGTAATAGAATCCGCGTCCCCATCCACTCTTCCCTGCCCCTCATGACAGTGATGGGGGTGTGGCGGGGGGCGGGGCAGGCCAACACTGTCATTTCGGAGACCTTCTGGGGTTGGGTGCCCTGCTGTCCCTCGGGCTGGCCGCCTCGGCACTGAGCGATCTCCCTGCGGCCCTAGCACGGCCACCTCCCTGGGTAATACGCTGCCAGCCCCGGACAACTGCTTTATACACGACATCTGCTCTAGACGTGAAGGTGACACCCAGAACCACTTAATCCATTCTTTATAATCTCCAAAAGGGGACTTGAGTTGCCTCAAATTATTCCTCTGGACAATAGTGGTCACGCAAGCCCATGTAGTTTTGATTTTATAACAGTAAAAATGGCCTTCGTTCCTCTTTCACTGAGTAGCATTTCAGTGATGCGTCAGAAGCAAAATTCATCTATTTCAGCATCTGAAAAAGGATGGAAAAAATGTAGTATCACAGGGATCACAAGTAAACCGTGTGACCCATCTGGAAGGGATGAAACATCATCTGTCTTAGGATCTTTTGAAAAGCGTGAGTGTCACAAAGCACTTCATACAGATGGAGAGCACAAACTATTTTTATGGAGGTAGCACCATTGACTTGTGGTTTCAAGAGAAACAAAATAATCTGCACACATGGGAAGTAATAAAGAAAGCACGTGAATTCGAAGGCGGTGAGGATACCGGAAATGCCTGTGTAGAAGGAGAAAAGACAGGGGCAGCAAACTTGTTGTAAAGGGCCAGATAATAAATACTTTTGTCTTCACGGACCATACAGTTGCAATGACTCATTCTTGCCCTCGTAGCACGAAAGCGGCCACAGTGCTATGTGAGCAGTTGGGGTGGCCATTCTAGTAAAACTTTATGGCCGCTGAAGGGTGAATTTCATAGATTTTTCATGTGTCGTGAAATGCTTTTCTTTTGATATTTTTCAACCATTTAAGAATGTAAAAACCCTTCTTAGCTTCTGGACTCGACAAGAGCTCCTATTTTATTTTGGGTTAAATGGTGGTGGGGGATGAAGGGGAGAAAAATGAACAAATCAGTTTCGAAACCTGTTTTCGTTACATTGAACCGTGTGTGCTGTGTCTTCCGTCCCCGCGACTTATTCATTCCAAAACAGGAAGCCTGTACCTCCCCCTCCCCTTCATTCACTTTGCCCATCCCCCTCGCTGCCCCCTCCCCCTGGCATTCAAAACCTGGTTTAGTCAGTAGTTACAGCCTTGTTTCCTGACAGACCTTCCGTCCAAGAATGGAGTAAGTGAAAAGCTCGTTAATTAGAGGGATAAGAATGACCGATACATCCACTTGCTTTTCTTGAGGTGAGACAGGAGTTTCCGGAATCCTTTCTGTTCGCTGGCCTGGTCACCTCTCATGACCATGGGCCACAAGTGTAAAACATCTGGCAGGAAATGGGGTCACAGTCTGTAGCCTTGGAGCGAACTTGCATCTGTCCAGGGTAAACTGGCCTCTTGGGACTCGGCTTCAGCCAATGAGCGACTGGCCAAGTGACCTCAGTTGAATTTTATCTCCTTCCTTTCCTCCTACCCACCCCCCCCCAATAGAGATGTCCATGAGGAAAACAAAAGGGCAAGAACAAATCACCAGAGGAAAAAAGACAAAGCAGAGATAGTTACTAAATATGTACTGACGTAGAAAATCTATAAGAGAGAATCCGGAAAGCACTTTGACTTTACTGCCTCAATTTTATCTTGCTTTTAAAGCCATGGCAGGAACTGAGAGGAGGTAATTGTCTTTTCCAAAATGTCCTGCACCTCCGTTCTGTTGAAATAGATGTTATAAATGTGCATTGGGCTGGAATAAATACACTGCATTTTGAGTCAAGAAAGCAATCTGGAGAGATTCCAAAAGATGGCAATGTGGGAGGACTCAAAAATATTAATTGATGCAGGAAGTTCTTTTTTTTTTTTTTTTTTTTTTACAAATAGTTTATTGTCAAATTAGTTTCTACATAACACTCAGTGCTCATCCCCACAAGTGCCCTCCTCCATGCCCACCCCCCCTCGCCCCCACATCCATCAGTCCTCAGTTTTTGTCAGCATTCAAGAGTCTCTCATGGTTTGCCTCTCTCCCTTTCCCCCACCATTTCCGCCCTTCTTCTCCCGCTTGTTCCTCCGTCAAGTTCCTCCTAATCCTCCTATACGTGCAAACATATGATATTTGTCCTTCTCTGCCTGACTTATTTCGCTCAGCATAAC